GTATTATGCCGATCGTCAAGCCAGCCGTGCGGTATTGGAACAAATGCGAGCTAAACCTGCCATTCACCTACTTTCACACTGTAGCAGCCCGGGACTTCCTAGCCGGTATAAGAAGTCAGTAGGTGCAGCTAAATATGTATGCCGAAGACGACAGTTAAAATTGACCTGGAAATGGCCTGAAGGCCAGCCCACGTGTTCATTGGCCAGACAAATACAAAAATGAACGCCAAATGTCGGGTAATTACATAAACAAAGCATTGTACTGCCTCTCTTCTCTTTCGACCGACGTCCTCGGCACTCCTCTTGATACGTTTCCCGCACCAGCCATCACAACATTTTCTGTACTACAAGAAAGCATTTATGTGACAACCGCGCCAGTCGACAGACAACACAAGATCGAGGAATTGTATTTGGTCCCCTCGGCAACTTCAACTGGATCTATAGTTTCGTTCGGTTCTGCAGCCAGATTCGGGGCCTCATACACCTGTTGACCATCCAATGCTGCCATTTCTAGATGACGGCACTCTAGTCTTAAACATTTTATATGGAAAACGGGGTGAGCCACTGTCTTGCATAAAAGCAAAACCGTATTGTCATTTCCGACAACTATACATGGATTTTGTAGGAGATTTTCCGACACGAAATTTTTCTAGGTGGTTCATAGCGGTGTCGCTTCAGTTGTCGATAGCTTGTTTGTGGAACACGGCAATAAGGGGAAGCCAAATGCAAATGTCAGTCTCGATCCTTTCGACGTGAAGAAATCAGAGATTTTCCATCTTCGAGGTTAATGCGCCTCCTCCACACCGCAGGTACATGAAGCAAAATATACCTTCGCTTTCCGCCTCCACTAGTGTAGCGCTCCGAGACTTCCCGCTGAGTTGAAGAAGTCAGTAAGTGTAGCAGAATACTTCTAGAGAGAACAGAATACATGTATCCAGCCTCATTCACTGCCTTCTTTCATTCAATGGGATGTCTCGGGACGCTAAATAGACAGATCTTAAAGTTA